GTCGGAGGAATGAGCAAAAGGCAGCCACTTTAAGAGCCAGATTCTTCACCTAGACAGGAAGTAGAGGACACAGAAATAGGAAGGTTGCTGGAGGCCCATGTCCCAGCCAAGCTTTCTGCTATGGGAAATTGGGAACCAGTCATTTGTGAACAGGGACGTGAGTTAATGACCATGGGATTTAGGAAGATGAATCTCCTGCTTACTTAGGGAATTGCATAGAATAAGAATAAGAATAACAACTACTTTTGATCACTGTAAACAAACCCTCGCGCATACACACCATGGACTATGACGCATTCCTAAAAAAGAATGACAAATCTGTCCAACACCTCATGACATGGACAAAATCGGAGGACATTCAGCTTAGCAAAGCTAGCCAACCTCGTCTTTATGACACCATTATTATAAAGGAAGAAAGAAAAAGAAAAACGGTTTCCACACCAAAGGAAAACGACTTTGGAGACGATGATGAAGCGGGGGATGGGGAAGAGAGTGACAGAGGAAAGGGTCAGAGAGGTGAGGGAGGGAAAAGAAAACAAGAAGCAAAAAGAACCAGCTACACCGGGGGTTCATGGGAGACTGCCCCTGTGTTGTTGGGACGGGCTGTGCAACCTCATGGAAAATGTTCTGACTGGTATTTGTGATATGCCACCAAGAAAATGAATAACATTCAAGTCAAAAAGAGAGGGGGGGCATTGTCTTAAAAACCCTCCAGACTATTTACCCCTCAGACCTACACAGTGGACTGTGTGCTTGGAAAGGAGAAGTCAAATGGAAAGTAACATAAGTTCTTTTATGACACACAAGCTAGGATTTGTTGTTGTTGGTGGTGGTGGTGGCTTGTAAAGGAGCCCTGTGTCGTTCAACTGTTCAAGCTTTCAGCTGCTGACCAAACATTTGTCCATTCGAGCCTCCAACCCCGGGTACCTCAAAAGAAAGCCCTGGTAATCTACTTCCCCCAAACTCCACTGTTGACCATTGTGTGGGGCCCAGGTCCAGCCTGCACATGTGAGGTTGCTGTGAGGTAGGCACCTGGAGGGCCACTGGATTTTAAAGAGAAGTGAAAGGTGTAGTGGCGCGGGGGTGAGGGGCAGGGAGAGGCATTTGGGCATAGCAAGTGCACCCAGACAGGAGGTGCAGTTGGGCACCTGACAAAGGTTAGCCATGACCCAGGGGTGGTCTAACTCACATTCATCCTTCCAGGTAGAAAAACACCTATTGTGGAGTCCTCCCCATCTGTAGAGTACAACAGAATAGGATTGCCTCATAGAGTTCGAGTGACAGGTGGGCTCGAACTATCAACTTTTAGGTAGCAGCTTAATCACTGAGCCCCAGGGCAGCTCCTTCCCCGTAGAGCATTGCCATTTGTTAGATGAGGGGTTCAACCTTCTGATGGAAACCCTTCTCTAATGCTTCAATTCCTGGGGTGTGAGGGGTGCTTTCACCCAGAGCGAAGCCAGGCCACTGGAGGGCGGGGAGAACCCCCTCCCAGGCCAAAAGAGGCAGTTGTGGGTCCCCATGCCTCCGCCTCACGGTCTCCCTCTCTGTGTTCGACCGTCCAGCCTCCAGTCCTTCTCCAGACGGCCAGGATGCCCGGCGGCCCAGAAGCAGGAACCCCGCCACCTGGACAGTGGAGGATGTGGTCCGGTTCGTGAAAGACGCTGACCCGCAGGCTCTTGGGCCTCACGTGGAGCTCTTCAGAAAGCATGTATGGAGCCATGGAGTGGGCCTCCAACCGGGGTGGGAGGGTAGAGGGTTGTGGAAGGAGGGAGCTGGGGGCGTCACTGACCCAGGCCTAAGGGAATATTCCAGTGAGCCAGAGATGAGAAGCCAGCCGGAACCACAGGCTCCTCAGGGCACAACACCACTTGGTTTTGTCTTTCAGGTTGTTTGCCCCTCCTGTCCCCTCCTCTTGGGCCTCCTGGAGAGTGTCCTCTTTCCTGCCCAACATTTGACTGTTTTCCACACACACATTTTGGGTGCAGTCAAACCATGATTGTGCCCCTTCCTGAACCGTCTTGGAGGGTTAAAAGGAGCCAAGTGTACAGAAGGTTCTCAGCCACAGTGTCTGGCTTGGAGAAATGCTAAACAACACAGCAAAGCACTAAACGAGCCACAGGACAGGGTAGAGCAGCTCCTCTGGGGTTCTGAGACTGTCGCTCCGTACAGGAGCAAGGGCCTTCAGTCCTTGTGTACCTCGGGCTTGATGACCTTGGCATGTCTAAGTCTTTTTCCAGGTAGCTCCTCTGACTGGCTACAGTTTGCCATGGTTTCTAAGAAGTCTCATCTAGTGGGAATCTCCTGCGGTATGTTTTCATCTCAGGCAGTGCTCAGGGTTAGAAGTACTTCTCATGTCTCGGCATGTTCAGGTGTTCCGTACATTTTGGAATAAGGAATAATCTCAGGGATGGCCATGACTGCTAATTTTAGCATCTGCCGGTTTTTACTGTGTAATATTTCTGCCCCCACCCCCACCCCAGGGTCATATTTGCATGAGAAGGTAAACAGTATCTATGGGATATTGGGAACATGGGTGCATTATATATGACGCTACCGATCCTCGTGGGTGGGTGTAGGACTACGCAAGTGCCCACCTGGTTGTTATTGTTGTTGTTTTACGGGGTGTGGGATCTTTAAGATCTCCAAGAGGATATGCCATCTAAATAAATCCACATGCCCTTAACACCACCCCTTCCCCACCCCCACCCCCACAACCTTAGCCTAAGCCTCTAGGGCAGCAGTTCTCAACCTGTGGCTCTCGACCCCTTTGGGGGTCAAAGGACCCTTTCACAGGGGTCGCCCAGTGAGGAGCTGTCTTACAGGGTCGCGGCATTAGGACGGTTGAGAACCCCTGCTCTAGGGAATGACTGTGACTCTCTTCTGGGTCGTCTTTCCTCTGATCCACTCCCTGCAGGAGATCGACGGCCATGCACTCCTGTTGTTGAAGAGCGACATGGTCATGAAATACCTTGGCCTGAAGCTGGGGCCTGCGTTGAAACTCTGCTACCACATCGAGAAGTTGAAGCAAACCAAGTTCTGAAGTTCTTAAAGATGGAGACAGAAATCCAAGACTACGCTGGAGAAGTCATTTTCTGCTTTACCATTAGGGGATTCTCCTCTCGAAGGGAGCAGCCACCGGGTCTTGACCTTTTTAAAAACAAACAAAAAACACTCGTGCATCGTTGCCTTCTTAAACATTCAATACGGCCCTCTCGAAAGGCGCTGTTGTGTGTTCACGATTTGCCAAAAAACAATAATAATTTTTTTTCACAAAAGCCTATCCCTCTGATGGCTCCTGGGATGTCATTTGCTCTGAGAGTGGGTCTTAGTTTATAAGGAGAAGGTGAGAGCCGAAGGCCAGGGCACAGGGAGAGCCCTGGACGGGTCAAGGGGCCTGCTTTCACGCTCCCCTGGCGACTAGTCCGTGTGAGCCTTCCTGAGTCCACCCCGAAGGGGTCTTCTGAGGCTGACTGCCTCACCTTGCACTGTCTGGAAAACTTGAATTATTTTACTGTCCGAAAGAACAGGCAGGCACCCGCCGGCACCCTGCCCTCCCTGTCCTTCAGCTACAGGACTGTGTGTCCACTAGAGGGCACACAGCTCATGGACCGTCAGGACTGTCCCACAGCTTGTGAACAGGGTCTGGGCTGCACAGAACAGCCAACAGACGCCGCCGCAGTCAGCACAGATGGTGGCCTGGGAGGAATCACCACTTGCCTTCCCGAAGGTGCTAGCTCATATCCCAATGGTATTGCCCACTCAGCAGGGACAAGCATTTGGAAGCATCCTCTTCCCAGAGTCCCCTGACACCCTGGGGGCCTTTCTGGGGTTTACTGACATTTAATCATGGGTGCTTCTTTTGAAAGCAAAATGTCTCAGCTACGCCTTGAAAGGGGGACGTTGATTTCTAGTGACATGGCTGGGCTGTGTCGTATCTGTGGCCAAATTTGCTAGTCTTCAACAAAGACACAGGCACGCTGCTGTTGGGCTGAATTCCATTTACAAAGAGGTTTTCTTTCCTCGCTGTGGAGTCGTGGGAATAAATGGATTTCCCCCCCCCCCCCTTTGCAGCTGTGCCGCGAAGCAGCGGATGCATCCACAGTGGCTTGCAGAAGGGCAGCCTCTTCTCGGTCCTCTCTAGCCTTCTCCCTTCTCTCTCTGTTTCCTCTCCCCCACCGGGCAGGGAGCATAGCTTTGAAGTGTCACCGGTCCATTCTCTTCAAGAATATTCAGTGGTGGAGGGATCTCTGAGAGGGTCGGGGTGAGGGGGTGTCAAGGAAAACTCCCTTGGCCTAAATCTGAGAAAAAGCACAGATCCCCTTGAGCTGTGGCTGAGCAGGTGTCCAGGCCAGTAGACCCGGGCAGGCCGCCCCCCCCCCCCACCTTGGCCAGAAGTCCTTGCACAAAATACCACCTATACAACCTTGAGAGCAGACCTGATAGACTTGTCTGCTGACCAGCTATGAATCAGTTAGCATTTAGCTGAAGACCAGAAGAAGCACGTGCTCCCTGCTGCAAGGACAGTGTGACGAGGGACAGCTGAGAAAGCACATCACCGCAAAGTTGTGTCTCCACAAACGAATGGCAGCTGAGCTCAGTGCAGGGCCGAGGGGAGTGAGTTGTGAGTGTCCTAGACCTGCCAGCTGCCTGAAGTGTGAGTCTTCTGGGCCGAGAAAGAGCTCGCTGTTGGCTTGTACACACAAGTAGTTAATTTGAATCAAGCTTTGGACAGTCTTCTGGATTTGGAAGCGATAACCAGACTCAGGCTCACCAAAGGTTTAGTGAATTCAAATCATTGCTGGGCTAGGGTTAGATGATTTCCCTCTGGAGGCCGCAGGCAGTTTAAACGTTCAGGATTGCCCGTGTGTAAAACAGCAGCCCACAACCACAGTGAGGCCCGCAGGATCCCAGGGCAACCTGTTCTCTCGCCTTCCCCCGCCTCACCGCCCCATATGGTGGCACCTTCTCCATCAACCTACCCCAGCTTCCCCTCCAGTCGATTCCAACTCCTGGCGCCACCCTGGGTCTGTCAGAGCAGAACCGGGCTCCCTAGAGCTGTCAGCGGCTCATTTTTCAGAGGTAAATGGCCAAGGCCGCCCTCTGAGGCACCTTTGGGTGTGGCCTTGAACCTCCAACCTTTCAGTTAGCAGCTGAGTGTGTGAATCGTTGGCCCCACCAGGAGACATCTCTGTCAACCTCTACCTCACCGCAGGACTTTCAGTAGTACACGTTCAAAGCTGCCTTGCAGGGGCCGCTCACAACAAAGGCAGGAACATGGGGCTCCCAAATGCAAAGCAGCCCTAGTGATGTTGAAGAGAAGCTGGGACTCAGCGAAAGAGAGAGCGCTTCCCATTTCCAGCCTCAGAGGAAGCCGTCCCCACGTGCCCAGGGAACTGCGCTCGCGGAGGTGACCTCGCATTTTGCATTAAACTTTAAGCAGGACAGATCGCCGAAGCCATGACATTTCAGGCTTGACTTTTGAAACGGCGCGTGGAAACAAGTGCGGCTGTAGCAGAGAATAACCCAGGGAGGAGCAGCGTCTTCCTTGCCTGCATTTGCACGGAAATGCAATTAGCCGACTGAAGGATGGTAGCCATGCTGCAATTATAGTTAATTTTCACCCTTCTCAAAAAAATCGTGTCAAACCAGGCCACTAAATAGCTAAGTGAATGTAAAACATGCCAGGCCGTTTCCTCGAAACAGCCCCGTAAAGAGACCGGCCTCGCGTGTCAGGCTGCTCCAAATGAGGGTTAATGGGGCCTCACACTCATACAAATGTGGCACTTGCTATTCTCCCGCAGTAGCTTTACTTCAGGTGTCAGCAAATAATATCGTTTTTGCATAATTCCAAATTGGAACGTGTGTGTGGGGGGTGTGCGTGTGCACGCACACATCCCTGTTTCAAACATTTCCAATTACACTGGTCTGTTAAACACTCAAAAAAAAAAAAAAAAAAAAAAAGAAAGAAAGAATAATCAAGACACAGTTCTATTGCCTAAGGCATTTTAAATATTCTCTGAAGTGCATTATTCTTTTGGTGATGATTTTAGGTGATCCACGTCGTTTGGGTCTGTGTGTCTGTGTGTGTGTGTTCTTGAAGCTGTCGCCAGAAAAGCCTTAGAAGGAGCGGGGACTGTCAGAGATCCCATCTGGAGTTGTAAAAGGCCTCTCCATTCCTTGGTCACTCAGGGACCCGACTTGCTGCTACTACGAGGTGCCCTGACTTGTGCCAACAAAGCGTGCTCTAGGGGCAGCTGGTGAGCTAGATGGTTCTGAAGTTCTGGCCACCCCCTCAGGAGGCTGAAGGGAGGTCTCCCTGAGGAAGCCACTGGAGCGGCGGGAAGCTTAGGCGAGGACTTTGTTCAGTGCCTCCCAGCCTACTAACCCACACCACACCCCCTGCCACCGGCCGATTCCAACTCAGAGCAACTCAATGAGCAGCCTTCCTGAGACTCCAGATCTTTAGGGGAGAAGACGGCCTCGTCTTTTTCCCTCAGAGTGGCTATTGGCTTTGACTCACTGTCCTGGCCGTTAGCAACCCAACACCAAGAACCACAAAGGCTCCATACTTCTCCTGCAGCAGAGTTGCCAATGACCTTCTCTTAGCAGGAAAGAAAAGGAGGGAAGAAGTTCTTCAGGGGCAGCGAGCACGATATCAGACTGCGTGGGCAGACAGCCTGAGCGGAGAGCAGTCAGCTTGCTTGCGGATGAAGCCACTGAGGGAGGGAGGATGCCGTCACCAGTCTCAGGAAAGCAATCCAAGAGAAGCTCTTCTCCCGCCCCGCCCACTCAGCCTTTCAGCTACCATCATATTTTTATAGTTTTGTGTAGAATATTCCTTTTCAAATTAGAATAACATCTTAGAGGGCTTTGGGCTTTTTTTAGATTATTTTCAGAGACTTTTGTCACATCTCTGAAGAGAACTGAAATTACCCAGAGGTGATGGGGGACTCAGTTTCCGTCCTAAGGAAATAGCCAGCTTCCACACGTGAGAGAGAGAGAGAGAGGAGATATTGGCAGAACAATGAGCTGCTGACCTTGCAGTCCACATGCTACCAGAACTCCCACTTTCTCCTTAGTCATCGTCCCACATCTCAGAACCTCAGACATGCTGTTATTCTCTCTCTCTCTGAGGCTAGTTCGGAGAAGTGCCTTTCATTTCCTCTCCTGTGGGGAACAGAGGGCCAGGCACTTAACTGCACTTTATTTTAGTTTGTTGTTGTTTTTAATTTAAGACGTCGGATCACAAGGCGCAGGATCAGAAAGAGCCTACTGCGATTTTTTTTTTTAAGCGCTATATCGTGAAGAAGATGGCATGAGTTATTTATCATCACACACACTTCCAGAACTTTTCCTGATGTCTCCTCACATACCTGGACTCCCCGGTGGCACAAGAACCCTCGAGCTGTTGGGCACATGGCGGCTGCCCACCCGTATTGTTTCTCGTTTCCGCCTGGCTGTGCCAGCCCAGCAGTGAGGCTCTGGCTGTACCCACACACCACTTGTGCTTCCTGGCAGGGACAGTTTGCGATCCGAAGCTTCCAGACTGCCGCCCCTCCAAAGGGGGCCCTGGTCCAAGGGGATTCCTCCCAGACTAGGACACTGGCCTTGACCAACCGCACGTGTGCAGCAGGCTACCCACCTGCTCCTTGTTCCAACACTGTCTTTCAACGAAATTTGTAAGTAAATTACAACCAGTCTGTACGATTTTTTATTAACCGGACTGTCAGGCAAGAAGAGCCTCCTTCTCTGTGATTTAAAAACTGCACACGCAGCCAGTGAAGGCGGCTGTGATGGAGAATTTGTTGGCAATCGGGCTTTAATAAATTGTTTCGAAGTGAAGACAAATTTATATACTATTAACTGGCAAGTCGGAGACTGCTACGTCGGAAGTTCATAACCCGGAAATTTACTGTACTTGAGAGAGAATGGCCCTTATTTATTGCCACCCGTTAAATATTATGGAAACATGTCTGCTAACAATTTGCTTTGAATAATTTGTTCTAATGGCAATAAGCCACAGCTGAGACACTTTCCGCAGTGAATTCCTTTGTGGTTACAGTGGTATCATCGCACACAGACACCACAACAACACTGTAGCTGAGCAAAAAGCTTGCTCCTTCAGACCGGAAGGGAGAAACCATCTTGCTTTGAAGTGGTGGTGGTAGAAGATGGTAAAAG